CCGTTCCCATGCTGCTCGTTGCAAACTCCGCGCGACGTTTCCGCGTCGGAGCACCAGGGGCCTTCCTTTTCGTAACTCTCCGTGCGGACCAAGCCCGAAATTAATCAAAGCACTGAATTTCAACTCATTTGCCCCAACACACCTTCCGAATGACTAACTAGACCGAGCCCATCGTTCTTCCCAGGTTTTGACTCCTAGATGTTCGAGGCAATTCATGGTTCCAGACTAAGGTCGGGATGAAAAACCATTTAGGGTCGTGTTTCAGATTCAAAGACGATCCGTCAGCCGAGACAGCGAAGAGATCAACTACCCTAATTTACTTAAATTTGACTAAGATTATGAAACGTCCTCACTCCCTTCTTGAACTGACCCTGGCCTTGGTTCCCAAACTAGTCAGTTACACTTCGAAGTAGCGCCCCAGTTCCTTTTCATTTTCTCCCTCGCTTCCTTCAGGTTCTTCTTCTCCCGCAGAGAAGTCCATCTCGTCGATATCCACCGGCCCAGGCTTGAGAGTTCCCCGCTTCGAATCGTCTCCTACTCCTAATCTGAGGAACCATCGACCATTTTCTTCCTTGTCGAATTCCTCCCCCCTTCCCCCACACCTCCGTTCCGCAACAATACCAGGTTACCAGACCAGCGCTCCTCCCCTGCTCATGAAGTGCTCCTTTGATTACCGTCTCTTTGAGGCTCTCCGCACCCTCGCCACCCATCCCCACCTCCCGAAGGTGCCTAATCGATCCCTCCGCCTCTTCCGACGGAGATATGATTAGCAGGATTCCCAAAGCCATGAAGCCTCGGCGTCTTTCGCCAAGGCTCTTCCTCCTCGTCTCCCTATCCTTCTCCAGAAGTTCCTGCAACTCCGTCGAATCGAGATTTCCTATCATTTTCCCATTTAGTTTTGAGCGGGTAGAGAAGCAAAGGATGTGGCCTAATAACCAATTATCCCTCGCCCTCCGACAGTGACTCTTCTCCACTATCCAGATAGGTTTCTCCTCTTCCAAGTAGCAGAAGCTTCGCGTTCCTAAATAATTCGCAAGTAGCTCATCATGCCTGGTTCTACCTACCCATCCCATCAACGCCTTCCTCCTTCTAACGTCCGAAGGATTCCATTCTTCGAATATACCGGTGTCCTCTGGCCTAGACAACGTTCCTTTCTCAGCGTCCAACACAAGGAAGCCGTCCAGGAGGCTACTAAAGGAGATCCGTCTAACTAAACCTTGATCGCTCGGCTCCGTCGCTTCCACCATCCTCATCCACTTCTCTTGGGCATAACTCCGAAAGAGAGCGAAAGGAGGCAGAGGGACCGAAGTCGGCTTGCCCCCATGATCCAACACTCTTCTTTCCTTCGCTAGATAACCCCCCATTTAAACCTTTCACTTGCTTCGAGAGCGCCCGTAGGCCTACAGAGCTTTCGCTTCTCCTTCCTAAACAAACCTTACTCGTCCCACGCCGGTTTCTCGATTCCGCCTTCCCTAACCTTCCCACTCTGAAGCGTGCACTAATCTTGAGGTTCGTCGGTAGTTCAGGTGGCGCAGGTGCCTTCTCCTTCCTCCTACGAAGGGTTCCAGTTCGAGGATGCTCCTCAGAAGCTGGGTATTCATACTACAGCTACTCGCAGTCTGTGCGCCGTTCGGCGGAGCCCCAGGTGAGTGCCTTCCCTACCTCTTCGTCCCCGAGTGGTTGGGATGAAAGAAGGAACTTACCTTGATTCAGCCTTCAAAATTACAATCCTTAGCTTTGCCAAGAATAGGAAAAGATCTCCAAGTAGTCTAACCTCTTGAAAATGCTTCTTCAGGTACCAGAGCGATATTGCGGCGCAGCCAACTACCGGAGCAGCTCAAGCGCCGTACACAGCGGTGGGACCATCGAGTTTCCCACAAATAGCAAAGAGGCCGATGGCTCAGCTATCCTCCCTTGATATAGCGCAGCTGCTAAACCAAGTACCAGCTGACCCACAGTAAGTCTACGCGCTACTTCCTAACCTAATGTAGGTCAGGTACTGGGCCTGCGCCGCCTCCTGGCGCCAAAACCTCTGCCCAATCAGAAGGCCCAAAACACGCCTTCTAATGCTCCAATTCGGAGAGTGTGCCTGGAGTCTGGGCGGACAAATGCAGATCAAGCCGTGTCCTCAAGCGCTGCCCCCCTGGACGGACAAATGCAGATCACCCCGTGTCCTCAAGCGCTGCCACTGTATCTACTAGTGCACTCGCGAACAAGTGTCTCGGAGAGTTGAGAGCTAGTACAGCGGTGAGGCAAAAGTCACGTCTCCAAGTGGAGAGTGGTGCAGCCAGACCTTTTTTTTTTTTTTTTTTTTTCGCGAGACCGTTTGGTGAGCCCTTGCCAAATCAATAGTCACAACTTCTCACGAAGTCCTGACACAAACTTATTGGTGAGGTGGAAGTCACTCATAGGTGTGGTAGTGCGGAGACGCTCACCAAAACTCACCAAAACTCACAAAAACTCACCAAAACTCATGTTTGGTGAGTATTGCGGAACTCACCAAAAGTCATGTTTGGTGAGTAGTGCGGCGAGACACTCATTTGTCGACTCTGCCACACTCTATTTTTTTTGGGAGATTCGAGAGGGGTGCGGCGAACCGCATCGTGGCTGATCAACGGATCCAGGTTTCAAACCCTTCGGATACAGTGCATCGCTCCCCTTTGGAGATAGTGCGTCGCTCCAATACTCTCCACATGCACAAAAGACAAAAATCATGGCGGTGCATCTTTCCACGGAGGATTCACTCTCGTTTTGCACATTTCGAGAGTAGTGCAGCGAGGCCCATAGTAGACTCACGATAATGGGGCTCACTGCACTACTCTAGATTCAAGCTTTTTCTTGACTGTGGCATGGCTGCACTTACTCAAGAAACGGGGCGCTCGAAAACCTGTTCTAGAGCTGTCAGAATAACTCTAGAAAAGTAACAGATTAGTCATCGCTCCAGATTAGTCATAACTCCAGTTACTCGATAAGTTCGCTCTAGATTTTTCATTTCTTGAGCTGTCAGAGCGGGTCGGTCCTTCTCACTCTAGATTGATCTAGAGCACCAGCCTGCAAAGTTTTTTTTTTTAGGGAGGTCTGGAGGACCCTTGAAACGCCTTGGTTTTCCTTGAGTGGGCCTTGAGTCTGGATGGACAACCCAGGCTGGCCCTGTCCTGTAGTGAAATGGGGGGAGCAACTCTAGCTTTTCTAGAGTCTAGCTAGAATCTAGAGCTAGAGCAACTCTAGCTTTTCTAGAGTCTAGAGCCAGTGCGGCTATGCGTAGATTTTAGGACTTTGCGTGACTCTGACAGCTCTAGAACGACTCTATAATTTTTTCACTAGTCTAGAGTAGTGCAGCCAGCCCCAACTGGCTTTCCCACACGACTACCGAAACGAGAGAAATGCGAGCGCATCTTCCCGAGGAATGTGAACCGGTTCATCGGTTACTATAGGTTGCCACTTCCTGCATGCACGTACGCCCACCCCAAATGTGAAAGGTTCATCCGTTACTATATCCGGCCACTCTCTGCATCTGCATTCTGTACACTCATCTCAAATCCCGAACGCGCTGCAGATTCTCTTCGCCCTCTGGAGGGAGAAGCAGGTTCGTCCTCAATCACGCACTATTGCGGACGCGTGCGCCAGACGGCATCGTCGTGCGCGAAGTTTTCAAGACACACGTCCGGGAACCCACACGACACACCGGAGAGAATCGTCAATGAAGTGAAGCACACACACACAGAGAGAGAGAGAGAGAGAGAGAGAGAGAGAGAGAGAGAGAGAGCATCGTCGTGCGCGGAGTTTCCAGACGTACGTCCGTGAACCCACACGACACACCGGAGAGAATCTGCATGAATTGAAGCACGGAGAGAGAGAGAGAGAGAGAGAGAGAGAGAGAGAGAGAGAGAGAGAGAGAGAGAGAGAGAGAGAGGCTACTGGTTGAGCGAGCGAGCGAGCGAGAGAGAGAGAGAGGCTACTGGTTGAGCTTACGTCCTTCTCTGCAGACGGTCGGAAAATGGTGGACTCCAAACGCCAGGTTCACATCGATCTCCTGGGCGGAGCCGGCCCTACCCCTTACGTTCATACAGCGGATGATTGTCAATTCCTTGCCTCCGTTTGTGTTGTGAGTGTGGCACACACACACGCGAAACACTCTGGCACAGTCATTCTTCGCTCCTGTGGAGTCGTGCACACACACACGCATACACACACAAGACATGTACTACATACACAAACCACGGAATCTTGAGCTAGATCGGATAATTTGAGGGGAACGATGGGCTCAGGGCGATGATCGCATATGACTCATATAACAATGGTGATGACAACGATGATTAGCAGGCGAAAGATTATGAGGGCAATTCTGATCATACGTAGTTATGGGTTTCGTAGGTGGTGATGTGGGGAATGCTGACGATGTTCATAGCGCGGGTGTTTCGCCACTGCAAGGCCTGGTAGTCTCCTTCTGTTTTTTTTTCTTTTTTTCTTTTTTTCTTTTTCCGGGTTGGTTTTGGTGGAGGGGGGAGGACGGGCGGGGGCGGGTGGAGATTCGGATTGGAACATCGCAGTGATGTCTCTTGGCCCACGTGAACACCGGGGCGCAGATCCCACTTACCTTGATTCTATGTGTGCAGAGGCTGATCCTGACCAGAGCGAAGAATGCATGCCAGTGAGGGATCTCCACACGGTAGGCGGACGAGGAGGAAGGGAATAACTGAAGAAGAAGATGGAAAAGCCGACGACGAAGAAGAATAATGGCTGAAGAAGAGGAAGAAGGAAAAACTGAAGAAAGATGCCCACGAAAAAGCGCTGAAGAAGAAGAAGAAAAACCACTGAAAGAAGAAGACGAAGAAGACGAAGAAGACGACGACGACGAAGAAGAAGAAGAAGTAGAACAAAGAGAAGACAGTACCCTCGTCGATATTGTGCAGACAGGTTGGCATTGACGCGAGATTGTTTTGTCTTTCTAGATTTGTTTGAGCTCCAGCTAAGAATTGACATGAAAGGGGGAAACGTTCGGAGTCGGAAGGGGGGGGGGGAGGAGGGGAAGGAGGGGAACAGAAGGGGAAAGAGGGGGAATGATGCAGATTGGAGGAATAGGGGGCGGGGGGGGGGGTCGCGAGGGGGGAGGGGAGATTGTATAAAAAAAAGGAGGCGGCAAAATGATACCGTTATTACTCCAGTAAACATAATAATATAATGAAGTAACGATCTTTCGAAAAAAACAAATAAACAAGAGGATACCGTGGCCATGCAAGGAAATAACGTAAAACGTTTTTCTTTCTCTCTTTTTGGGTGGGTCGGGCTATTGTTGCCCAGATTCCTTTTTCTTTTGCCTATATACAGCTGGCACTTCTTTTCACTGTGCAAATGGGATGCTAGTGCAGCATATGTATTGGTATTTATTTGTATTTGTATGTCTCATCACATGAATATGAGAGCGCAAAAGCGAAAAAAAGAAGAAAAACGAATGAATTCGTTTTCTTATATCTTCTTCCTTACAACTCCCCCTGTTCAGAACCTCTTTTGCGTACAAGGCCGCCCACGTGGATGTAGGTTGAGCGGCGGCTGCCCCCACCCCCGTGTGTCATATCGACCCACTTGCACACAGCCAGAAGGCAAAGAGGCAAAGAAAAGAGGAAGGGAACAGCCACATAATACAGAACAGGGGGCAACAAAACAAATCCCAGATGACACGTCCCACATGCAGGCACGGCCCCAACTCACAGGCCTAACGACGGGACGAGACCAACCAGGATATCAAAACATTCTTGTCTGCAAAGAAAACAGAAAGAAAGGCTCCGATCTATATATGTACATATGTTTATGTATAGCTCTATAACTCCGACGAAACAAGCTGTCATAGTCCCTCGTTCGTTTTCCTTTTCTCCCTCTGTGCCTACGGTTCACCGGGGAGTCCTCTACGACGTTCAGCCTCCTGATCAGTCGGCGTAACTCGGACGGAACAGTCTGTCACAGCCCTTCTTTGGTTGTCCTCTTTTCCCTCTCTGCCTACGGTTTACCGTAGGCAGTTCTGTTCAACGATATATATGTGTATACATTATATCTATATCTATATATGAACAGGTGGAGCTTTCCTTACCTCTTCCCCCTCCCCCTTTTTTCCTTTTCCTTTTTTCTTTCCCCTTTTTTGCGCTCTGATTCACAATGTGACAATATATACACACAGCTTTTCGTCTGGTGTGGGTGAGTGATAGTCTGCTTTGATTCTCGTCACAGGTACCTTGAGGGCAGTGGTTGGTGGTCCCCGCCACCTCAGAGGGCTATCAGTTGTCGGGCAGTCGGTGATGCTTAACCACAACCGAGGTTAAGGTGGGTTATCACTTTCAGTATCATCGGTTGGGGGGCTCTGCGGACTGCAACCGGGGTTAAGCGGATCATCACTTGCAGGATCGTCAATCAGGATTAGGGGATTCTGCAGACTGTTGAGGCTTCAGCCTCTACTGATTGATGAGTCATTCGGTGAAACTCCGACAAAACAGTTTGCCACAGCCCCTCGTTTGTTGTCCTCTTCTCCTTCTCTCCCTTGAGAGCTGCCCGTAAGCCGTAGGTAGAGGGGGAGAAGAGGACAAGAAACGAGGGGCTGTGACATGCTGCCTACGGTAAACCGTAGTAGGCAGAGAGGGAGGGAGAGAGGGAGAAGAGGACAAGAAACGAGGGAGGGGCTGTGACAAACTGTTTCGTCGGAGTTTCACCGAATGACTCATCAATCAGTAGAGGCTGAAGCCTCAAAAGTTCTGCAGAATCCCCTAACTGATCATTACACTGTAAGTGATAATCCACCTTAACTTAACCCCGGCTGTGGTTAACCATCAACGACTGCCCAGCATCTGATACCCTGAGGTGGGCACCAACCACTGCCCGCAAGGTACCTGTGACGAAAATCAAAGCAGATTATCACTTGCCCATATCAGATGGAAAACTCTACAGACTGTCGGTTCACACCCTGTCACAAGCCAGCAAAACCCCCACGGAATTGACAGGAGGAGGAAACGTGCGGAGTTGAAAGGGGGGAAGGGGAGAGGGGGAATAATGGGATTGTAGGAATCAGGGGCAACACGAAAATTTGTAGTGTAAAAGAGAAGGCAAAATGGCTGCGTGCAAGTGGGTCCTTGTGACACACGGGGATGGGGGCAGCCAGCGCTCAACCTGTCATCCACGTGGCTGGCCTTGTACGTAAGAGGTTATGAACAGGTGGAGCTTTCCTTACCTCTTCCCCTTCCCCTTTTTTCCTTCTCCTTTTTTCTTTCCCCTTTTTTGCGCTCTGATTTACAATGTGACAATATATATATCTTTTCCTATTGTCTTTCCCCCTTTGTTTAGGGGTATTTTGTTTTGTGGACCTACTGTATGGTTCCGTTTTTTTAACTATGGTTATGGTAGAATGTTTCTTTTGAATGAGAATCTTGTCTGCTTCGATTCCGGTTGATTCTGTCCCCTTATTTGGTCTATCTTAGGGAG